GTTTTCAAAGACTTTGTAACTAGTTTTTGATTTTTAGTTCCCTTAATTCCCAAATAATGATTGAGTCAGTATCGTTCTCAAATAAATGAGGAGGGGTATTTCTCACAGACCCTAAGATGCCTATGGAGATTCTAACATAATTTCCAAACTTAAAACTGTAAAGAATTGGGCCGGGCGTGGTGGCACACGCCTTTAATCCCGGCACTTGGGAGGCGGAGGCAGGCAGATCTTAGGTTCTTGTTCTTGTAAATGTTTTTCCACAGCTAAAAGACAATCATCTAATTTGGAACTAATATTCTACCTCTACCACTACTATTAAGTGGAATTAAGAATATCTGGACATTCTGTTTTTAGTACAATATTCAAATTTAAAGCCAGATATTTTTTAAAAGTGGCATTGGAGGCTGGAGAGATGGCTCAGTGGTTAAGAGCACTGACTGCTCTTGCAGAGGATCTGGGTTCGATTCCAAGTCCCCACACGGTGGCTACGAACCATCCTTAACTCCAGTTCCAGGGGGATCCGGAGCCCTCTTCTGACCTCTGCGGCACTGAATGACATGGTTGCACTCACATACATGCAGACAATACTTTTTTGGTCTTTTTGAGACAGGGTCTCCCTGTAGCCCCAGCTGTCCTGGAACTCACTGTATGGACCAGGTTGGCCTTGAACTCACAGAGATCTGCCTGCCTCTGCCTCCTGAGTGCTGGGATTAAAGGCATGCGCCACCATGCCTGGATTCACATGAAATTTTTTTTTTTTTTGTCTTTTTTGAGACAGGGTCTCCCAGTAGCCCCAGCTGGCCTGGAACTCACTATGTACACCAGGCTAGCCTTGAACCTTGAACTCACAGAGATCCGCCTGCCTCTACATAGTAAAAAATAGGGCTGGGGATACAGCTCAGTGGCAGAGTGCTTGCCCAGCAAGCATGGCTCCTTGGGTTCAATCTTTAGTACCATATATCAAAAAGAAAAATTTCACTTAATTCATCTGTCTCCTTAACATTTGTTTTTTGTTTGCTTGTTTTTGTTTTCATTTTTTTTTGGCTTTTTGAGACAGGGTCTCCCTGCAGCCTCAGCTGTCCTAGAACTCACTATGTAGACCAGGCTGGCCTTGAACTCACAAAGATCCGCCTGCCTCTGCCTCCCAAATATTGGGATTAAAGGAGTGCACCACCATGCCTGGCTTAAAAATAATAAAATATTTTTTTAAAAGAGACAAATGTTGCCAGGATCCTATCTCAAAAAGACCAAAAAAAAATATTTTTTATTTTATGTGTATGTGTGTAAGTGCACCCATGTTATGCAATGCCCGAAGAAGTCAGAAGAGGGCATCAGATCCCCGAGAACTGGAGTTATGGACAGTTGTTAGCTGCCATGTGGATGCTGGGAATTGAGTCAGTGCTCTTAACTGCTGAGCCATCTCTCCAGCCCCCATTTCTCCCCTACTCCTGGGTCTTTTTGAGACAGGAGCTCCTTGTAGCTCCAGCTATCCTGGAACTAACTATGTAGACCAGGCTGGTCTTAAACTCACAGAGATCCGCCTGCCTCTGCCTCCCAAGTTCTGGGATTAAAGGCGTGCGCCACTACGCCCAGCAACACTACCTTTTTAAAAACAGAAAATCAGAAAATGTAGAAAGCCAAGACTGGAAAGTGAGTTCAGCAGTTAAGAGGATGTAGTGTAGTGCTCTTTCAAGGATGGGAGCTTGGTTTTTAGCACCCACAACTGTCTGTAAGTCCAACTCCAGAATCCAGTGCCCTCTTCTGGCCTCCTCATATATGTGCACGTAAGTGCACATACCATCTATCTATCTATCTATCTATCTATCTATCTATCTATCTATCTATCTATCTATCTATCTATCATCTATCTATCTATCTATCTATCTATCATCTATCTATCTATAATTGAAAATATTTTGTTTTTGTCTTTTTGAGACAGGGTCTCCCTGTAGCCCCAGCTGTTCTAGAACTATGTAGACCAGGCTGGCCTGGAACTCACTATGTAGACCAGGTTGGCCTGGAACTCACTATGTAGACAAGGCTGGCCTGGAACTCACAGAGATCCACCTGCCTCTGCCTTCCGAGTGCTGGGATTAAAGATGTGCGCCACCACGCCCGGCTTGAAAATAATTTTTTAAATTAGAAGTAATATGAGTAATATAAGGTATCCTGATTTTAAAGATGCCTGCCAAAATTACCCAATGGTTGTGTGATCTTGAGCAAGTCATTTAAAGTGCCCTGGAACTGATTTCATACCTATTAAATAAGGCCAGCAAATCTGGGATATCTATAGGGCCTTCTGGCCTAACACAACATGTAGATGTTTTTCTTTATAACAATGCAGGATAAGAGATGTTGTACTGGGTTTTGTGAATGGGGTGAAGATGAGAGTTCTAGCTGGGTCATTTATGAATGAACAGGTTGGTCCTGAGTAAATCTAAATGAGCCTCATCTGAAAAAAAGAAAATATATGCCTCGTAAGACTTTTGCGCTTTTAAATGACATGGTGTATATATAAATCACTTTCCTGACTACTGGGACTGTAATTGCTTAGTAAGTAACCTACTATCTCTTTGTGTTGATTCACAAAATAGTAATTCTACAATTCCTTTTTAAAATATTTTATTTTTATTTGATGTTTATGTGTATTGCCTGCATGTGTGTAAATGCACCCATGTCATGCAGTGCCCATGGAGGTCAGAAGAGGGTGTTAGATCCCCTGGAACTGGAGGTATGGACAGGCAGTTGTTAGCCGCCATGTGGGTGCTAGGAATTGAACTCAGGTCCTCTGCAAGAGCAGCCAGTGGTCTTAACCACTGAGCCATCTCTCCAGCCCCCTAATTCTACAGTTTCTTGTTCTAGATTTCTTTATCTATAAAAATGATTGATAGGATCAGATCAGAATTCTGTTCAAACATGTGAGATTGCATATTCATAACAGATGGCCCAAGATCAGAGGCTCAAGGAGGAAAATATAGTCAACAGGGAGTTATTACTACCTTTCTCTTGCATGAAACTTGAAGGAATTTTAAGATAAACTAGAAGCTTTATGGCTCCACCTAAGTGCCCTACTTTCTTCTTTGTAGAGGGTGTGACAGAACTTGTAGTGGTTTTTGAGTCAAGGGAAGAAGTAGTAGATTTATCAGTTTACTAAGACTTCACACACACACACACACACAAGCACACCCCTAGGACATTCCTTAGCTCCCACCCAATTTCTAGTTCTGTACTTTCCCTGGTGAATTTGTTTGTTTGAGATGGAGTAGCCCAGGCTGGAACCTCACTATGTAGACCAGACTGTGCTGAAACTCATAGGGATCCTCCTGCCTCTGTCTCTTGAGTGCTGGGATTAAATATGTGTGCCACTATACCTGGCTCAAATCCATTTTTTTTTCTTTTTTAAATTTTATTTATTATTTTTATTTCATGTGTATGCGTGTACTGATGCAACCCTGTTGTGCAATGCCTGTGGAGGTCAGAAGAGGCTATAGGATCCCCTGGGACTAGAGTTATGGACAGTTGTTGGCTGCCATGTGGGTGCTGGGATTCGAACTCAGGTCTTCTGCAAGAACAACCAGTATTCTTAACTGCTGAGCCATCTCTCCAGCCCCTCAAATCCATTTTTTTAAGTCAAGTTTTTATACCATTAAAATATATCATGTTGGTTGCTGGGTGTGGTGGCACACGCCTTTAGTCCCAGCACTCAGGAGGCAGAGGCAGGCAGATCTCTGAATTTGAGGCCATTCTAGTCTACATAGTGAGTTCCAGGTCAGCTGGGGCTACAGGGAGACCCTGTCTCAAAAAAAAAATACATACATACATATATATATATATATGGCTGGAGAGATGGTCAGTGGTTAGGAGCATTTACTGCACTTCCAGAGGATCCACATTTGGTTCCCAGCAACCATGTCCAGCAGCTGGAAACCATCTGTAACTCTGGCTCCAGAGGGTGTGGCCCCCCCCCTTCAGGAACAACAGACACAACTCATACACATGAATAAAAACAAATCTTTAAACAATAGTATGTTAATTTTAGTTCCCAGTTCCAGCAAAAAACTTTAGGAATCCGAGTCTGTCATAAACACAGTATTACACTGGTGGTTGAATGGCATTGGGGATCCTAGTTGATTTTTTCTCCTATTTTGCTTAAATGATTACAGAGAGAGAGAGAGAGAGAGAGAGAGAGAGAGAGAGAGAGAGGACATGTATTGTGTGGCGAGTTAAAAAGAAAAATCTAAACAAACGGCTATTTATTGGCCGTTTTGATAAGCATGTTTTCTGTAACTCTTCCATAAACAATGGTTGAGTAGGCGACTAAATCTTTCCCTGTAAGAGCCAGTGACCAGAAGGAAAGTTTCCCCACAGAATTAAAGAGAAAATCATTATAGCTCAGCCTCCAGTGGTGGGATGAAATCGCATGAGGCAAAATGATGCAGTAGTTAAAAATTTCCATGTGATCTCCAGCTCAGCCTGGACCAAACGACAAGTTCTCAGAGGCTCCGTGAGGTGAATGATACCTACCTCTTATCTGATCAGATAGTCCCAAGGATTAAATGCCTAATGGATTGCTTCATATGGACTCAACCGATCCTATTATTACAACCTTTGCGCCCGAGGGTTATGGAAATGGCTCTGGGAAACCCAACAAAACAACCAAGGGACCCTAGGACGAGCCAGGAACAGCTAAGATGTTACCACATGTCAATCAACTGCCTGGCACCGTTCTGGTCTGGTCCAGAGCCCCTCCGCACCAGGGTTACTTTCCAAGGCCACAGATGCAGAGGGGAGGCCCGGCCGTGGTATCTAGGGATGCCTCAGGGTCTTCGCCGGAAGTCCTCCCCGAGGAAGCCACCTGAAGTGTCCCTCGGTGACGCGCCTAGATTCCTCGGTGACCAACCCGCTTGCATTTTCCACTAAAACGACCTTAAAGAACCCCCGAAGCCCGAGGCCCCGCCCCTTCCAAAGTACTTCCGGCTCTCCGCCCTTTGACCCGGAAGTGAGCGGGAGAGGAAGCAGCTGGTGATGCTGGAACCAACATGGCCGCGCCTGTGCCCCTCTGCCGCTCGGGCTCCCGTCGTCTGCGGCTGCTCCCGTTGCTGGCGCTGCTGGAGCTGCTGGTCGAGCCCGGCCTGGGCCGCGTGCACCACCTGGCGCTCAAAGTAAGGCGGGGTGAGCCGGGCGGAGCGCGGGGAGCTGGGACTCCGCGCGGGTCCGGCCTCCGGGGCCAGGGGGTTGGCTAGGGGCAGGAAGGGGCCTGGCTGCGGCGTGAGTCCTCGACGGCCGGGAGGCCGCGCCTGCAATCCCAGCCGGCTTCCCGGGGCTCCTCGCCGGGGGTTCCTGCGCTCCCCACTCTCCCCTTACACCGCGGGCGGTTACCCCAACTTCTCATGCCCTTGCACCTGGCACCTTGAAGGTGTGCGAATCTTAAGTTCAGTGTGGTGACTTGGTACCCAAGCGAGGATCCCCAGGAGGAATTCAGATCTTGCTTGAATTGTATGCTTCGATTTAAAAAAGAAAAAAGGAATATGCCTGAGAATTTAAACTCGGCATTCAAAGTGTTTCTACGTAGGGGCCTCTTTGTTTTCTAACTGTGGTCATTGCCTAAGGGAGATATTTATGACAGGCCTGGAATGAAGTTCCGAAACCGCTTTATAGCTCACAGTTTAAAGTTCTTTAAGGCTTACGCATACCTCGTCAGCTGGTTAATATATATCTGAGGACTAGGAAAGTACATTATGAATCAAAACCTTCTACATTTTCCTCATACAAAGTTTTCCAAGAAGTTTGTGTCACTGTACACAATTTGTCTTGTAAAAATACTTTACGTTAGCAAGGAAGTATCACATTTTGTGAATCTGCAGACTCTAGATTCTAGAACCGGGCCAAATGCATACAACTATATTTAGGGTCTCAGATTTGGTTTGTAAATAAAAATGATCCAGGATAAATTGGCTCTTAACTACAGTAAGACAGATGAATTTTGGCACTTGGCAGGAAGTGTTCCTAACCATTGAGCCATCTTATCTAGCCCAGTTTATTTTAATGTGTACGTTTGTAGTGTGTGTATACACACTACGTGGGCGGTCAGAGGACAGTGTTGGGTGTTGGGTGTTGGTCCTTGCCCTTCACTTTGTTTGAGACAGGTCTGTTGTTCTTCACCACTGTGCACCACTGGCTAGCTGGCCCATGTGCTTCTGGGAACTCTTACCCATGATGAGATAGGATTACAGATTTGCAATTCCCCGTTGGCTTTCCATGGTTCTGGGTATCTGACCTCCAGTCCTTATGCGTGCTTGGTGAGCACTTTATCCACTGAGCCATCTCACCAGCCCTGGTTCATTGTTTTCTAATTATTACATTTGTTCACTCTGTGCGTGTGTGTGTGTGCGTGCATGTGCGTGTGCGTGTGCACACATGCCACAGCATGAATGTGCCAGAGGATAGCTTTCTCCTTGCCTCTTCTTGTTTGTTTTTAAATATTTTTACTGATTCTTTGAGAGTTTCATGCAGTGTATTTTGATCATATTCACAGGTATGCGTTCTGAATCTGCATGTCATCCCTGTGCAGGATCAGGCTTATCTTTCTCCCAGTTTTAACAGTGTACTACCAAAGCAAGCACTTGTTTTTTTGTTTGTTTTGTTTTGTTTTTGACACAGGGTAGCAGGCTGGCTCCATGCTCATTATGGAGCCAAGAACGTCTTTGAGCTGCTGACCTCCTGCCTTGTCCTACCACTTGCTGGGATTACAAGCATATGCCATTCCCATCTGGCTTATCTTCCTGTATTGAAAGCAGTATAATGTGAAATGTTGACGTTAAAGGAGAAACTTTGTGTTCTGGTGTTTTTCAAGTGAGCGAGGAAGGAGAAAGTGCACCAAAACAGTCACCTTTCTGTGCTGTGATCTGGGACCGTTTATCTTGCCATCGTCATCTCTCCTGGCTGGCTCTTCCCCGGAGCTCTGTGGAGCTGTGCCATGTGCCTCTACCCCATTTCTATCCAGTGCCTCCCTGAAGCCTTTCTGTGTTAGGATTGGCTGTGCTCTTCACTCCCCGCCCCATTATACCGTAACTCCCACTTTACCTTTCTGAGTCACTGGACCACTGGCACCTCATTTTCTCAGGCTGAAATCTGTCATTTCACCAGGTCGCCAAGCTCCATAGACTGTGCTCTAAATAGCTCCCAGCCTCTTGTCTCCTCTGTGTGTCTTACCACCATTCCGTTTGCTTTGGCCTGCCCTCATGGTTCTGGAGCATGGTGAACCAACATTCTTCAAGTTTGTTTGTTTGTGGCTGGAGTGATCTTCCTGAAAGCCATATCCGATCTTGTCACTGCAGGGGAAATTCGCCATCGGCTCCCTGTTCCCCTTGGGAGGGAAGTGTGCTGTTATTGGTTAGGCTAACTGTCTCTAAGTGGCGTCCTCTCTAGCTCTCTAGTCTCCTTGCGCTTCTTTCCATAAGCTGCTTAATGAAGTTTTTTTCAGACCAGTTACTTCCAGGTCAAGAAACAGGGCATTATTAGTTCTTTAGGACGTCTCTTCTGAGCCCCCATTCTCCCAGCAGCCACCAAACATCCTGAAAGAGCCGACAGAAATATGGACAAGGAAAGGTCTTGCCGTCCTCTGTATCACATTGTAAAGTCACAGGGCACTGGAGGGGTCAGTGAGCACAGTAAGCACAGAGATGTCTGAATGGGAACTTGATGTGCAGAGACAGCATCTTAGAGCAGGGGTTGGGAAGACTGCTCCCAGAGAGTCTTGGCATAACAGGCTTTCCTTCTGTATCAGAAATTCTAAACACTATCTTCCGGTCACTGTAGTTTTTACATACTAAGCAGACTAGACATCACATTAGCAGGAAACGTACTAGCAGAGCCTTAGCCTGTACCCGTGCTGTGGACAGCATCCAGACCCAGAGCATCACAGTCTTAAGTGCTCACACCATACCAGCAGCTGTATCAAGCTCACAACTCACATATGGATATTCTACAAACATGGTAACAGTACCTTGCCCAAGAATCACTCCTCTTTTTGGAAAAACTAGAAAGCATAACCACATGTATTCTTTTAGTCAACATCCATGGAGCACCTCCCTCGTATGTGTTAGGCCCTGTGGCGTCAGGGTCAACATGGATGGCAAGGAGCACCTCCCTCATTTGTGTCAGACCCTGTGGCGTCAGGGTCAACATGGCTGGCAAGCTCTTGTCCAGAAGCTTACAGTCAAGGGAGATGATAGATGATGTCTACCTTTAAAAATGTTTTGCTAACTAGGTGTGGTGGTGCACAATCTCAGTCCTTGGGAGGAGGAGGCAGGAGGCTCTTTCTCAGCCTATATGGACCACATGATGACTTCAAGGCCAGTCAGAGCTGCACAGTAATATTGTCTCAAGACAAGCAAAAATATCTTATAGATTGTAGAAAATTAGAAGTCCCACATGGCAGCTAACAACTGTCCATAACTCCAGTCCCAGGGGATCTGACAGCCTCTTCTGACCTCTGTGAGCATTGCATGACACAGGTGCACTTACCTACATGCAAGCAATACATGCATACACATAAAATGAAAATAAATAAAATTTTTAAAAAAATTAAAAGGAACTATTTGTGATGATTCAAACCTGCAAGCCAAGTACTCAGGAGGCTGAGGCAGAAGGACTGCCATAAGTTCAAGGCTGTCTTAGGCTGCACAGTGAGTTCATGTGGCCAGTCTGAGCTATAAAGTGAGACCCTGTCTTAGAAAGAAAAAAGGAAGGGAGGGAGGGAGGGAAGAAAGTTACACCAAATTTACATTTCCCCATAAGTCACAATCATCAAATACCCCGAATACAGCTGCTTCAGAGCCGAAGCAAGGGATAAGGAAAGTGGAGAGCAAGGGCACGGTGACACAGTGCGTCCCTGTGTCTGTGAACCATACTGTTCTGTGATTCCTTTCTGCACTCCTGACCTGGCTGAGGCCTTTTCATTTTTATTTCTTTCATTGAGCCAGGAGAGGTGACTCACAACTGCAGTCCTATTACTCTGAAAGCTTGAGGCCGGAGAATCTCTGAGAATTCAAGGCTAGCCTGGGCTACATAGTAAATGCCAGGCTACCCTGGGCTAGAGTATGACCAAGTTTCAATACAATAAAATTTAATTTTGAAGCCGGGCGTGGTGACACACACCTTTAAACCCAACACTTGGGAGGCAGAGGCAGGCGGATCTCTGTGAGTTCGAGGCCAGCCTGGTCTCCATAGCGAATCCACGCTAGCTGGGGCTACAGGGAAACCCTGTCTCAAAAAAAACAAAAAAAAATTTTTTTAATTTTTAAAAAGTCTTTGGGGCTGAGGGTGTAGCTCAGAAAGCAGAGTGCTTGTCTAACACGGTCAAGGCCCGACCTGAGTTTGAGCCCTAGCACTGCATAAAGTGGCCAAGGTGCACACCCATAATCCTGATTCTTGGAAAGTAGAGGCAGGAGGAGCAGAGGTTCAAGGTCAGCCTCAGTTTCATGAGTTTGAGACCAGCCTGAAGTGCATGAGTCTGCCTCAAAACAAAAACCAAAACAAGTGTCACTGGCAAGGCTTGGTGATACATGCCTATGATCCCAGCAACTTGGCAGGGTATGTCAGAGGATGGCAAGTGCTGGGCCAGCCTGGGAAAATTGGCAAAACCCAGTTGGTAGGTAAGTAAGTAGATAGAAATTTTTGCCATGTACCCCCATAAATATTTTGCGAATTATAGTTTCTTTTGGGGGCTAAGGAGGTGGCTCAGTCGGTAAAGTGCTTGCCAGGCAGCCATGTAGACCTGTGTTCAGATCCCAGCACCCACATAAAAGCCGGGTCTACCTGGTGTGCACGTCAGTGCTGGGGTGGTAAGACAGGCGGATCATGGAGCACATGCCATCTAGAAAATTGATGAGCTCTGGGTTCAGTGAGAGTCCCTGACTCCAAAATAAGGTGGACAGTGGCTGGGGAAGACCACCTGGCGTTGACTTCTGGCCTCCATGCGTGTACGCGCACACACAGTAAGATAAAAGTTATGTTTTCTATTAGGGTGAGCACATTTGATCGTTTAATGAAGGGTATTAAAATAAGGGAAATTAAGGGAAATCTCAAACAAAATAAGGAATAACGTCCTCCCTACCTGGCAGCCTCTTTGCTAATGTGGTGTCATTTGTAATTTTAAGAA